CTAATATTTTAACCTTGTTAGTTTGGCGGTGAGAGCTTTCTTTTGATGCAAAAATATCTGGTCTTTTCAACTTACGACACAAACACCTCCATTGTTAGTTTCGCGACATTTTAGAATGGCTACTGAGATTTTATTTTTTTTTTTTTTTGTATTTATTGAACTTATCCTATTAATAGCTTATAATACATTTTAATTATATCAAAAGAGAGTCTTTGTTCTGAAGAATTATCCTTGATCCTTAGGTTAGTTTCTTTCATTTGATGATAACATATGTTATAGAAAAATTCTAAGTTCTCACAAAAAAAAAAAAATGAATCTCAGAAACTGCTGAATAGTAACGGTCAAACACAACTACAGTCATATTTCCTGTTAACTTGTCAACTGAGCAAAGATAGTTGAACACGATTGAAATTTAGTATGATTTCTTCGACAAATGTCTAAAGTTTAGAAATAGCAGATGTTATAAAAGATCATGTAGTGAAATTTTTGGACTCTTGCAATAAGCTACCTTTTCTATTCGAGTGAAAGTTTAGTTATTTAAATATTAGAATTATTGTTAAAAATAAAAACTTAAAGTATACAACACGTTTCGACATAAGGATTTTAAAATATCGGGATAATCTCGATTATCTCATAGAACTTTACTATCTTCTAATGTAGATTATTGAATGAAATCTTTTTTTCGAAACTGTTCAATATGATTAGAGTGTAAAGTGATTTTAATAGAATATTTATTAATATTATATATATCGTTTTGTTTTTGTAAAGGATCTTTCTGAATCAACATTTGAATCAACAGAATTTGAATTACACAATGAATTTTATTTATATTCATTACGATCACTTTGTATATCAACTGATCATCCATTAGAATTATTTACATTATTATTTAAAATAGCCCCATTTTTACAACATATTAGATTAATTCAAACTTATAATTCACCATTAAAATTTAAAAATAATAATCAATTATATGACTGTATTCATTTTGTTATATGTCAATGTCAAGAACGATTAAAATGTTTACGTCGTTTACATGTTCAATTACGATCTGTATCCGATCAGGTAAAAAGAAAAAATTATTTTAATATTTTGATTATTATTTATGTTTTTTCATATTTTAGATATTTCTTGAATCGTCTTCCGTTACATCAATACCCATTTCTTATGAAGTCATTACTTGTTAGAAATATAATTCTTGTGTGTTTTGTTCAGATAGTTTATGTCGATTAAATTATTATTGTTCGTCTTTAAATAAATTTGCATTAATATTTTGTTTTTGTGTTTTATTCTAGATGGTTGAAGAGAAAACTTTTCAATTTTGGCGTCGTTTACTCATCATATCTAATATCTTTTATATTCTATTGGCATTAACATTTTTATTTTTTGCCATATTTGCACAAGTACATTCTTTAATAATAGATCTTCATTTATTTGTTGGTTTACTAATTTTGAGTTTATTTTTAATATTTTTATCCATATTTGGTATAATTGCAGTTACAAAACATCATCAAGTATTATTATTTTTTTATATAATTCTTTTGGTTATTTTATTTCTATTTCAATTTACTCTTGCATGTACTTATTTAACAATTCGTGGTGGAAAAAAATATGATTTATTAAAAACAAATTATGAAAAATCAATTGATGATATTCAAGTAAAATATAATTGTTGTGGATTTGATAATTTAACAAATTTTGATCGTAATGTAACATGTAAAAATTTATCTTGTTGTAATTTACCAAATCAATGTTGTGAAAAATTATCAATGTGTTATACATTATTAAATAATGAACTTGATAAAAATTTAAAAATTATTGGCTCAATTATGCTCATATTTACATTAACTCAAATAATTGTTATTTATATAACATTAAAATTTCGAAATTTTCGAAACCCAGCGATATTCATTTAATGCGATGTTCAAATCTCTCTTTATCTCCGTATTTCTCTTTTTTGCTCGTATCTCTTGAAAATAAAAATTTTCTTGATAGATGTTTAGATATAAACTCTAAAAAACAAATGAATGAAACAACATTTTCTTTCATTTTTGTTTTTTTTTCTTTCAGATATGTCACAACAACATTTTACAACTCCACCATCAATACTTGCCAGACAAAAAGATGGTGAAGCACCAAAAAAACAAACAAGAGAAGAATATCGACAACAAAAAGAACTTGAAGAATTACGAAAAGCTGGTTCGGCACCAGCCGAAGTTGATGAAGAAGGAAAAGATATTAATCCACATATACCAAAATATATGACCGATGTACCATGGTATGTTACATATGATCATGCAAAACCAACACTTAAACATCAACGTATACATCCAGAAAAATCAAAAGAATATGATACTCTTAATGAATGGTAAGTATTTACAATATTTCATAGAAGACTAATAATTCTATATAGAAATTGCGTAATAAACACGAGAAAATGTTGATATCAATCAATAGTATGGATAGATATGAATAGGAATAATCATTATTAAATTCGAAGCAAAAATAGTTTTAGCTATGATATCGAACTTATGAGTGAAGTCTTGCAAATGATAAATTGGTTTCGAGTCGAAACTAGAACTACACGAAAGAGAAGTTGGTGAGACTAGGACTGGTATTACGAGAAGAAAGTTGTCTTGATCGAAGCTATAAACTATAATTAAATATTCTATGACTGTCAAACAATTATTGTATAAATCAGAGGTTCTGGAATTTCGCCAATAAATCATATTATTCAGGAGATAACCCAAAAAAAGGACTAGTCATTCACTAAGTAAGTCAAACAAATGAACACTGAAGAATTGTTTTTAGATGTGAGCAAATAAATTCTGTAATAGTTTTCTCTAGATCAGAACCAAAAAAGATGGTATCGTATATCTCTAGTCGAGAATATGCGCATCGTGCAGATCCAAATGAGCTATGAATGCCCTGAAAAGAATTCTTTACCTTAGCTTATTGTTGCGAGGATACTGTACTTTTACAAATTTTTGCAAATGAATGTCGTACTACCCTTAAGGAACATCAAAAACAAACGATTTTCGACTTGAAACTTTGTATATAGACAGGCGTTAACGAGAAGAGTGTTTTATAAAAGTTGCACACTTTTTCATTTGCTTCAATCATGGAATAAGAATATCGAATCTACTTTCATATATGAGTGATGCGAAAGTCACACTATTATCTTAGCTTAGGATAGAAACAGCGAGAAGATCTGAAACATTCATAAAAACTACTCTCATTAAGGCTTGTTTCTATGTAAAGTTCCAAGTCACAATTCGAAAATCAGTTTTCTTGAAGAGCGTCACGGCATTTCGTTAAAAAAAAAAACATCGTAAAAGTGCAATATCTTGACAGCAATAAGCTAAGATCTTGAACTATTTTTAGAACACTCATAGTTCGCTTAGTTCTATATAATGTACATAGTCTCAACTAAAAAAACGATTTACCAGTTGAGAGGTTCTCCTTGTCAGATACTAAAAACTCATTGAAAAAAACAATTAATTCGAAAAAAAAGGCCAAAAACTTTTCGTTCTTTCATGTGTTTACTAATCTCATTGATTCTTACTTATGAACATGAAGTCAGTACATGAGTCAGTTGGATATCTACTATCATCAATTGTATTTTTCAACTTGATATATGCTATAGATGATTAGTATTTAAGTCTTTATCTAAGAAAAATCAAAATTAATATGATAGTTCGCATTCTGATCTTCCATATACGATATCATTTTTTATTTAATACCTCTGTTTCTCTGCTGATCGTGCATCCTAAAATTTTCCAAGGAACTACATTGTAGAACGTGATACGAGAGAACACAGGAAAAAAAGAAAAACATATATATACAGTGGCCGCAAAAATTATTAGTACGATTTCGATAAAGAGAAGATTTCCGTTTTTATGATTTTAACAACTTTAATTATGACTCATTAGATGTATGAAAGAACAGGTTACACATTCACAATATCTGTTTTTGTGATTCAATCCTATTGAATAACCATGGTTGGCTGTTCAAAGACAACGGACTTTTACTTTGAAATTGAAGCATAATTAGGGTGTGGGTGTGGGTTGTGGGTGTGAGTGTTTCTGCATCTAACTATTCATAATTAAGGTTTTTATAACCATAAAAGCAGAAAAATATTTTCTTTATCAAAATTGTACGAATAATTTTTACGTAAAAAAATACATGATTTTTTAAAGAGGGATCTCTCGTTTAATATAGGTTCACTCTGCAAAACTAAATTTTATAGTATGAATATTAGAAGACGTGATAATTCTTTTGATCACCACTAAACGTTTTGATTACCTTTAATCAAAAACGAAATCGTACTAATAATTTTTGCGCCCACTGTATATATATATATACGATAGCAACAATAGGAAAACTCACTAAACATATACGACAGGAAAAAACATAGTATGCGATGTATTCATACATATTGGATGAATTCTGAACAAGTATAATTTGTCATCTTCTTACTCTCGAACATAAAATAATATATATTTAATTTTCTTAGGTACGCTCGTGGTCATGCTGACAAAGTTGCAACACGTTATCGTCCAGGTGCTTGTGAAAATTGTGGTGCAATGACACATAAACGTAAAGATTGTGTTGAACGTCCACGTCGTCTTGGTGCACGTTTTACTGGAACAGATTTTGCACCTGATGAATATATACAATCAGATATAAGTTTATCTTGGGATGGAAAACGTGATCGTTGGAATGGTGTTGATATTAATTGGCATCAACAAAAAATTCAAGATGAACATGAACGTTTAGCTGAAGCAAAAAAAGTTTTAAAAGCTAAAAAATTAGATGAAGAAGCTATGGCTGAAGAACAAACTCTAAATGAAACAATATCAAATGAAAGTACAGATCCACTTGTTACAGTAGCAGCTAAACCATTAGAAGTTGATGATAAAACTAAGTCAACAAAAAAAAATAAAATTGATTCTGATGATGATGAAGAAGATGAAGAATATAAATATACAGATTCAATGGATATGCCTGGTCAACATGTTGATTCAAAACAACGTATTAGTGTACGTAATTTACGTATTCGTGAAGATACAGCTAAATATTTACTTAATTTGGATGCTAATTCAGCTTATTATGATCCAAAATCACGTTCAATGCGTGATAATCCATTTGATGGAACAAATAAAGATCCATCTCAAGTACCATATTTAGGTGATAATTTTGTTCGTTATTCTGGTGATGCAAAAGATTTTGCTAAAAGTCAAATGTTTGCATGGGAAGCATCGGACAAAGGTGTTAGTATTCATACACAAGCTGATCCAACTAAACTTGAATTATTAAATAAAGAATTTCATGAGAAAAAAAATCAATTTATTAAAACAGTTGAACAACAATTAATTGAACGTTATGGTGGTGAAGAATATTTAAATAGTATACCACGTGAACTTGTTGTTGAAGCACAAACTGAACAATATGTTGAATATAATCGTTTTGGAAAAGTTATTAAAGGTGATCAACGTGCAACAGTTAAATCAAAATATGTTGAAGATGTTTATGAAAATGAACATACATCTGTATGGGGTTCTTATTGGAATAAACATCGATGGGGTTATGCATGTTGTCATTCATTATTACGACAATCTTATTGTACAGGTACAATTATTGAAGAAAAAGAAATTGAATTTGAAATAAATCAGAAATCTGATGATATTAATGAAGATAAACCAAAATCATTAGTTGAATTACATCGAGAAAAATTAAATAAACACAAAATTCAACCAAAATCTTCATCATTATCAACTGATGAGCAAAATTCTCTATTGAAAAAATTAGATAAAAAAAAAGTACAAGAAGCAGCAAAAAAAATCGATGAACGTGATCGACAAGCTGAAGAAATGGTAAATACTGATGAACGAAAACGAACATATAATTCATTAAAATCAGATACTAAGGATCTAAATGAACCAACAGAAGAAGAATTAGAAGCATATCGATTGAAAAAACATCGTCATGATGATCCAATGGCACAATTTATCTTAAACTCTTAATTTGTTGTTGTTTTTTTTTTCGTATAAACGAAAATATGTATAACATTATTTACTATTATATTGTATTCTCGTATTTGTTTAAATAAAACATAGAAATGAACATATAAAATATTCAATTTTAAATATTTATTCATATAGTTTAATCTCAAAAATATAACAAATAATTATATGTAAACTGATCATTTCTGTCATTTACATTAATTACATAAAAAATAATTTAAATGATCGTTTTTTTTCTTAAACATATTCAAAAGAAACGAGAGTAAGAAGAAGTTATTCAATTATACTAACAACGACATCGAAAAGTAGCATCGATGATTTAATATCATCATGAATTCAGCACATCCTGGTTTTTGAGTAATCTTCAAACAGAACAATCGTATCTGGATAATGAGATTTCCCAATTGATAACTAGCCAGGGATGTTAGGTGAGCGGAGATGTACACCTTCCCATTTTTCGAAAATTTTAGTTTTTCTCCAGCAAAAATTGTAGATTTTATTAAGAAAAAATATCTTAAAACGAAAAACAAAAGTTCTACTATACACCTTGTCGAAACTCAGAAACTTTTCTGACATCTTCTCATTTTTTTTTCTGTTTCCCACATCTCTGTAATAGGTTTTACGTCAAAATCAACGAGGATCAAAATTCAACGTACAGCACATCTAGGATTTTACGAATTTAAAAAGATCCTACAAACGATAACATACAAAAAATGAAAGTATTTGCTTATGTATTTAATTTTATAATTATTCATTGATTCATCTCGTGTATTGTTTGTACTTTCTACATTTGAATTGTATACTCTATCATTGAAATTCATTGATTAGCTGTTATTATTTTTCAATAAGTAATTTTCTAAAATTTATTTTCTTCTAATTTAATGGCTATTCAGAGTTAAGTCGTTACATTTGTCCTGTCAATCAAAGATTCACTTTTTTTTATAGACATCAATAATAAACTCACTAAAAATGAAACAAAAAAAAAAACTTGTTCTTCTGTTAAAGTAATCTTTATTTATCCGAACAATTTTAATTGTTAAATTTTAACAAATTCATATATAACATTAAAAGAATCTTGAGGACACTAATAATGAAACGTGTTTCACTTCAAATCATGCAATATCTTGATGAATTTTAGTTAAAAATTTCTATCGAATTTTTGGATTGTTTGATTTTTAAAAACAATCATGGAATAGAACTTAAGGTTTGATATCCATGATTCAACATATATTAATAACTTTACTCTTCTACTGCAAGACACATGAGTCATCAGTTCTTGATATTTTTCCAATTCAATTTTATTCAAAATATTATGTTTACTATTCTATATGATATTACATAGCTCTACTAATAATCAGAGCGTAGCATCACTTTATCCATTCGACTCGGATATCATTAGCAATAGCTGCTGCTTTCTTACACTTATTGATGACAATTAAATACGTATTGTATGAGTAGCGAAATAGATCATCTCTCTATCTATAGTTTTTGTTACAATAATCATTGTTCTTATTAATCTGCGTTTGACGCCTATTTTTTTTTCTCAATGTGTCATGAAATAACTCAAGTCTTGTATAATATTATCGTAGCGTATAGAATTACAAATAGTTAAGATAAACAAAATGTACGTTTCTGTATGATTCATAATCTATCACGAGATTGCTAATTGTTTTTGTTTTCTTCCTTTGACTTTCTCTTTATCTATTCTATATCGCCCATCGTTTTCATTGATCTAATCGGAGACATGTTTTCTTCTTTGATATTTTTTCTACGGCTACTCTCTACATATGAATACACTTTGATTTTAAAATAAAACAGCAATTATCGAATAGTGTCGTATAGTGACAGTATTTCTACTGTTATATTTTTTTTATTCCGTTATATGAATCATCATGATATAGATATACGTATCAATACATATATATATATATATATATATATATATATGCATGTCTTTTCTTTGAGGATTCTTGTTGATGGTGCAATGTTAGGTGCTGGTGTTAGTTCTAGTTGGAATGGTACTGACAAAGCATTCAAACATGAAAGAATAAATGACAAAACATATGTTACTGATGTCGCTTTTGAACAGGTGTAGCAACTGGTGGTGTGGGTGCTACAAGTGAAACAATAGCTGTTAATGTTGTCAGACAAAGTTCTAAAGAAGTTGCAAAAGCTGATGCTAAAAGATTAGCTGAATGAGGTGCTAATGGTGCTGTAACTGGAGAGTTACAACAAAAGCAATCGATGAAGTAAAACAATGTTCAACAACGGATAAAAAATGGTCTGATTATGGAAAAATTTTTTATGAAAATGGTCAAGAAAATAGAACAGTAGTTTCATGGATAATCACTGCAGTTGTTGATGGATTAGGTGGTGCAAGTAGTCATAGTAGTTCGAATTTATCATAATCAGTTACATCTAATGTTGCTAAAAGTGTTACATGTGTTGCTGCCAATGGAACAATTGCTGCAGTTAGAGATGGAACAATTCAAGGTGCAAATATAGCTGTTGGAAATCAAGATCAATATGACATTAAACGTACATCTACAAGTGCTACAACAAATGCAATAATGACAGCAGCACGAGAAGGAACGAAGAATACAATTTATCATGTCAATGATGGAAAAAAACAATCTATTAAATGAAAAATTAAATAGAAAAAGTTTTAAAGACAAAATACCTAAAGATGATCAAGAAAATATAATGAATGTAAATATAGATTGAAAAACCATATCTGAATCGGAAGTTTATGAGAAATTCATGAAAGCTTTTACTTATACTTTTGAAATACAGGAACAAAAAATGAAATATGATTCGGCTTTTCAAACATATAAAACTTAAATTGAATCAGAAAAAGTATTATAAAAAGCAACTATCGATGAAAGAAATGTATTAGCAATCAAACAACATCAACAAAATGTGAAAAATTTAGAAGGTCAAATAAAAGAAGCAAATGAAGATTTTCAAAGAATCTTTAATAAAAATAATATGAAGAAGATTAAAACTTATAATGATCATTTTACTACCGATGACAAATTAGGACAAGTAGCTTTTGATGGTAAATCACTTGATGAAAGTTCCAGAGGCTAAACTAGAACAACATTCGATTATAATTGTTATAAACAAGGAAAACTAAAATTAAGATTTTCTGATTATAATAGCATGTGCAATTATGGTGAAAGTGATTATTATCGAATTTATCAAGGCTATGGTAATAATCTAAAAGCAGTCAATGGAAATGAAAATAATCTCGTGTTACAAATCGTTAGAAAATGAAGAGGAAAACAATAAGAATAAGCGAAATGATTAAATTTTACTTAATTTTTTGTCTTCAACAAAAATTGAATATCTATTCGTTTGTATTTCTGAAAATAGACATATATTGATAGCTAGTAAAACGACTAGATATCATCGAAAATGATTTATCTTCTACAAATTGTGCAGGAGTTATGTACCAATACGAAAAAGTATTGTTTCTATTGAAGAACAGAATTGAGAGTATTTAAAAAGTACGATAGTCAAATAATTCGATTTAAAAAGCTTTTACTCTAAACTTTTGTTTTCTACTGATTGAGTAGACGTATCCGACAGAGAAAAAAATTCTATGAAAGCTTCATCGAGTTTAAAAATGCTAAAGTATACGCATCGACTATACTAGACACGTTCTTTTTTTGTTAGAAGAACTCTTAGTTGAGAAGGCATACATACTTTTTTCAATAGAAAAACTGTTAGAACAATGTTTTTTTCTAAAAATTTATGCGAAATCGATATTAAAATTAATCGTTGTCTTATTCATAAGCAAAAAAATTGTCGAAACGCATAAACGTGTAGAATAGACGAAGTATTAGTAAGTTTAAAAAGGAAATGAATCTTCAGAGAGAGAATATTAGAGTTCGTGCAAGATGTCTCGAATGTATTGATACTGCGAGATAAATGATATCATACGTTTCGTTCGTACGTGTATTATTATATGCCAAATCAAAAATAATTGGTCTCACTTATCACTATTCTAAACTGTTAAATAGTCAGAATCTTTTTTTTTTCAATCGAAAAGTCTATCAAAGTATATCGGACATTATTCGAATCGCAGAAAAAAAGTCACTTTTCTATTTTTCACCAAATGTCAACATTTTTGTTCACTGTGGGAGAATTGCTATGATGCTTGTCACGATCTGTGACATTTCTATGATTATATCTGTGATGTCTTTGACATATCGTTACTAACAAGAGAACGTATTCAATTGTTGGATGCCGTGCGATTCCACATTAAGTCTATGTTACTTAGGGTTAGTCATCTTTGAAATATACAAAACGAAGAGTTTCGAACTGAAATTATGTTTGCAAGTACTTTTGATTGTTCTGAAATATTTCAACGAAAACAACCTTGTCTTTCTCCAGATATTCGATTACTGTGTGTCCTTCTTTGGTAAACAGCTATGTTTTTACATACAAAATATCTCGAGAAGAACATGTTTATTTTTGTTGAAATTTTCAGGACTATCAAACGTACCTATTGACATAATTTCAGTTTGTAACTCTTTGTTTTGAATTTCTCGAAAATGTATTGCTCCTAGAGTAAGAGTTACATTAAAATGATCATATCTCTTCAATAGTAGGACACAGGTACGAATCATTTTAAACTTTTATTAGTCTTACCGAGACCAGCGATGTCCAAAAGTTGAATATTTTCGCTCGCAAAATGTCTATGATGAGTCGTTTCTAATGTGTCTCTCAGTTATAATCTATGAGGGATAGAGAAGTGTAAGTTTCTATCCAATGTACTTCAATATTCTATTTATATGATATTTCATAAAACGTTAGATTTATTATATTCTTATATTCCGATTGTATACAATAATTAATGTTCAAGAAAAATGAATTGTTATTATTCAGGTATTAAATCTTCTTCACACACCCATGCAGTATAATCTGATGGATGACCAGTAAAATTAACTTTATAATAAACTTTTCCATTACGTTCTTCCATTCCAAGAACTTCATTAACAGTTTCAACTTCATCATCATTAATCGATGATATATTAGTTGTATGTGATGATGTAATACCTTTTTCTTGACATGTACGTTTAAGTTCATTTTCAAAATTATCAAATGATTCTGTTTTATTACTTTCATGTATTGATAAAGGAACGATTGTTGCTGTTGTTGTTGGTGATGATTCTTGAATTTTAATATCTTTATTTGTTGAAATAATTGTTCCTAATGAAGCTATTTGATTTGATGTTAAACCTATTTGATTTGGAGATGATGGAAAATTTAAATGATGATCTAATTTTGGATAATTATTAGGTAAATTATTTGTTGTTGGTTTTGTTTGATTTTTATATAAACGTTTCTTTTTTAATAATTTAATTATAATAAATACAAGACATAATGTAATTAAAAAAAACATTAGACAAATAATAGCTATTATTATCATGGAATTTTGAGGATTAAAAAATGACTAAAATATTTATTTATGAACATCTATGTGTTGTTTTTTTTTTTATTGTTTAGAAAAATATATATTTGTTTTTTACTTTGATATTATTCCACATATTTTCATTATTATCAATTGTTGTTGACATAGTAAATTTAATAATATTAATATCTGTTAGATTCAGTTTATCTGTATCGTTTGCATCAAAAGAATAAGATGAAGTCATGGAGATCTATTCTCAATTCGTTCGATATAATATGTAGCGATCATGATGCAAACATAATTAATTATCAATATATTCTTGTGATTGATAGTTCACTAGTGGATTATTACAAGTTTCGCGCCAATTATATGACAAGATATTCTTTAAGTAAAATGAAAAACTTGAATATCTATTAGATTGTTTGATCAACAAATAAAAGTTTAATCGACATGCTTTGATTCGATAATTAATATTTCTCTATCTGTCATAAAAATATATATAAGATTAATTTACTTCTATTTATACAATAAATAAATAAAAATACACGACAATAAAAAAAAAAAAAAAGAAAATTACAGTGTAACCTCTAATAGGTGAACAGTTGTCTACTCTGAACTTGAACATTATTTTTACAAGAGATGGGCAATTACAACTCAGAATTGAAGTGGCACGTATTGAAGTCGTTCATCTCTGGCTTTTACAGTCTCGATTGGTACTTTAACTTGTTTTAAATGAACATACGTGCATTTTTTTTCTCGCCTTGTCCTCTTCATCATTTGTAGCTAATGTACTAATACTGCTTTTCATTGTTTGTGATAATTGTACATATCAGGCAAAATAATGACATCACAACATTATCTTATATTAAATGAAAAAATTCAATTAATTAATAATAACAACAATGATAATGGTTCATCATAACACGAGTTACAGGATTCGAGTTATTTTTGCCATTCTTTTTTTCGTTGTCTGTTTATTTCTACAAAGAATGTGAACAATAAGTTTTTCATATCATAATATCTTATTCTTAATTTTTATGCACAAAAACAAAATTTAGAACAGTCCTATATTAAATAAAATGACACAATTACTATATCCTTATGAACACAATAATAACAGTAAAATCAACTCTTGTGTTTCATACAGTTCCATAAGACAGTAAACATAAACAAAAAATCTAAAATTAAAATTATTTACAAACACAAAATATTTATTAACACTTAAAATTAAAATCTATTCTACTTCAAAGATATTTAAATGTAAATATTAGTTTGTGAAAAATTTGAACAATGCAATCTCATTAAAATAACTACTTCGAAAAAAGACACATTCAATTGATGTTCATTTATCAAGAATACACATGATTTTTCTTGTAAGATTATTATACATAGTTGGTTGTGTATCCAATATTTAAATGATTCTTCAACAAGTCAAAATCAAAGTATTAAACAAAAATTCACAAATTTTGATGTAATAAAATTTGATGAATACATATTCGGATACATTGCACAGCACTCCTCATGAAATTCACAAATATCCAGACTAAAACAATAATACAAGACTTTGTGAAACAAAGCAAAGTTTTATATATAATTAATAAAGAAGCTTATAATCTGAAACTTTTCGTAGTAAAATATGTGATATCTTCCATTGATGAACACTTTTCGAACAAGTCGTCAGTGTTCATTTAACAGATGTTTTATTGTATATCAAAAATAATCGAGCAGAAGAATTATGCAAGGCTTTGTTAGAATTCATGCGAAATATGGAAAAATCTGTGAAATCTAAATTGTACTTCGATGAAATTTCAACTGCGGGCACGGAATTGATTATAGGTTTTAATAAAACAGGATTGAAAATAAAATGAAAAATCATACTTGAATTTCTCATGAAAAAATGCATCAGAACATATTAAATTTGGCTTCAGTTTCTAAAAAAAGATTTAATCTAGTATAAAGTGGCGAAAAAAAGTTTAAGGCACTTTTTGTTTTTCGTTTTTTTTTTCATTAGAGATCCCTTTAATGGGCATCCAAATAGTGATTTCGATAGCTCTCGGAACGAGCTACAAATGTATTATATCGAGAACATCAACGGTGAACCGGCTAAGTTTTTATAGCAGAAACTGTTTTTTCCAGCGGAAAAAATTCAAGGCATTTTTTGTATTTTATCGATTTTGCCATTGTGGAAGAACAGAAAACGTTTGAAAACTATACCATTAGATTCAGAATTGAACGGGCTATATTTTGATATAAAATGTTTTGAAAAACTATTGACTGTAATAATTAAATATTAATTATTATTAATTAGCAGTTATAGATAAATTTTTTTCATAATTTTCGGCTTTGAAGCACACTATAAGAAAGAACATCGAAAACTAAACAAACCTATGTGTTTTTCTCAAAGGACAATTGGTCTTTATGGGAATATTTAATCATTCTTTTAAAAACTAATTAATATTGCATTAATAAATAAGAAAATTAAGCTTTTAGAGAAACTTGTAAAAATCTGAAAAACAGTGTATTTTGTAGAGCACACGTTGTTCTATAAAACAAGACCTAGCGCGCCTTTTTCCGATGCAAGCTTTAAGTGGCACAATGTTTTGAATATTTATTACTAATTTCAGCGATGATTTCTAGCTATTTTCCGCCTTGTTTTCCCTAAACTATGTTCAACGGGCTGTATCACACGAATAGCATATACTACAAAACCCGCTAGGTCTTGTTTCATAGAACAAAGTGTGCTCTACAAAATACAGTGTTTTTCAGATTTCTACAAGTTTCTCTAAAAGCTTAATTATCTTATTTATTAATGCAGTATTAATTAATTTTTAAAAGAATGATTAAATATTCCCATAAAGACTAATTGTCCTTTGAAAAAAACACAGGTTTGTTTAGTTTTCGATGCTCTTTCTTATAGTGTGCTTCAAAGCCGAAAATTATGAAAAAATTTATCTATAACTGCGAATTAATAATAATTATTAATAATTAATATTTAATTATTACAGTCAATAGTTTTTCAAAACATTTTATATCAAAATATAGCCCGTTCAATTCTGAATGTAATGGTATAGTTTTCAAACATTTTCTGTTCTTCCACAATGGCAAAATCGATAAAATACAAAAAATGCCTTAATTTTTTTTTCCTCTGGAAAAAACAGTTTCTGCTATAAAAACTTAACCGATTCGCCGTTGATGTTCTCGATATAATACATTTGTAGCTCGTTCCGAGAGCTATCGAAATCACTATTTGGATGCCCATTAAAGGGATCTCTAATGAAAAAAAAACGAAAAACAAAAAGTGCCTTAAACTTTTTTCCGCCACTTTATATTCTAACTACTTACCGACCACATAATCATACAGAGCTATCTTAGATTCTTAATTATTCGGAAAAGTCAACTTGCTCCATATGGTAGCGTAACATATTCGATAGAACGTCAACTTGTTTAGAACTCTAGTAGTCTACTAGTTTTATTTGCCTTAATAACAAACATGAATAAAAAAAAAAAAGTTGGCATTCGATCATGACAGGATTTTCAATGAACCTCTGAAACGAAGTACAAATAAATATCTCATTTTCTTTGACAACATACCTTGTAATAATTTATTCTAAATAGCAAGAT